TAAGTTCGAGACCCACATAGAACCTTTACTTCATAAGAATCTTGGAATCATTTTCTCTCCTAAAGCCTTGCAGGTACGAAATCTATAACTAGTACATACTTAAGAATGTAACGAAATACGTTTGAGAATATTATTAACCAACTAAAACATTTCAGGAGTATAGAGCGGTGTTGGAAATAAAGTTGAAATTGCTAGACAACCAAGAACAGTCATTTAAAATATGTCTGATTGGAGAGGGAGTCATTCCTAGGATAGAATTGTTATCGCCTCGGCTAAGACATCAAAGAACAGCTGTGCTGCAGTTTTCCGTCACTTGTTTAGGTTCCGTCAGCAGCAAACCTATCAGCTTTAAAAATATAACATCAGTGAATAGTGTTACTGTTCTAGAAGTGTTACAGACAATGAATGAAGTTAGGCCCATATTCTGGTTGGCTGCAGCGCCAGAGAGCGAACATGTGGTCACATCCAGTACTAATGGTAATATATGTATAAAATTAATTTTGGAATTGTTATGTTATGGTACTATATATATGTTATTTTAAGCTAGGAGCGCCTTATAGGTGTAGTTCGTTCCTCAATGCACCAATTATTAGTACGATTTTATAACCTCTTAGTACTAAGTATGGGAGAGCTATGCTTCTTGAATGATTCGCCTTGACCAACGGGAAATACGGCCTCATAGGAAACTGGCGTGAAACAACTACAACTCGCAATGGCTCAATTGTTCCCCTCGCCCCAAACCCAGTTACTAAATCTCTAACTCTCAAATTTCTAACTCTAAATCCTCTGGTGTTGCGGAAATCCATGGCACCGATTGCTTCCTATCTGGCGCACCTGGTCCTTTGACGACTAATAACATAAAAAACTGGAGGTATCAACAAGCAAGTAAACTGCTCACAGTGTACAAGCAACTGTAACATAGTGGATATATGTTCGGAAATATTTAATAAATAACATGTTTTACTATTTCAGAAGAGATAAATTTGAAAATGAAAGTAACGTTACGACCAGCGCAAAAAACGACATTGAATGCTTATTTCAGCCCTATAGCAAAAGGAAAAACTTGTTGTGAAATAAGAATTACAATCGAAGAAAATCCTTATGAATATTTTACGGTAATTGAAACTTTTTATCCAGTCAAAGGATTGTAAAACAAATGAAATGTAGGTATGTACTTCAAATTCAATGTAAAAATTAATGGATGATAATGAATGTAAAAATTAATCAGATTATTTTCTGATATATGTTTTGAAAAGGCTAATGGGAACGAATTACTGGTAAAGGAGTCTCAAAAAATTTCTGATATCTCATTTTTGCCAGGAATTATAAGACAGTTTAATGTTTTTTAGGACTGCTTGTGCTTTATTAGTATTTATTAGTATATTTGTTTTTTTTTGTTTCAGGTGATTTGTGAAGGCGAGTCGTTCATGGAGGACGTCATTCTCATGGGTCTGGAAATGCTTTCCATGGATATGGACCTCGATACATATAAGATGTCTGTTGAAGAGTAAGATTTTTTCAAATTGATTTAGATTATTATGTACCTACCTATACAATACATATTATACATATATGTTACCTGAATTACTAACTTTAAACTATGCAGATGCTGTTAAATTATAAAAAAAAATCGTATTTCGAAACAACATCGTAACAACATTATTTTCTTTCCATTCATTAACTTTCATTTAAAAATAGAAGTGGATCTAGGTGTAGCATTTAATTAGCAGTTTTCTACTAACACTGATAGAAAATAAAAAAAGCATTATTTTTGTTGGATTTTTGACCAGTACCATGTCTACATTATCAACGGCGGACAAAAGAAGTAAAACAGCCAGTTTAGTTGAGAAGAAAAAGTCGAGAACCACACAGGGTGTCGAACCAAGGAAGACGAAACGATTGTCGTCCGCCTCAATAAGGCGCAGTGATTTTCCCGCCTTTACGGAATCTTCTCTGCTGAAATACGTCTTGGATTTTGGTAAAGGAAAAAAATTCAAAATAAAAAATCTACACATATTTTATATCATAAAGATGCAAGATAACATTTTTTGTTTGTTTGGTTGGCTCCGAAACAACTTGACTAAATTTACCTCTAGCTGAATAGGTATTTTTAACTTGTTCTAACGCATCATAAAAATGGGCGATCTTACTTGTGCCTCAGGCATTCTCTCCCAATCTATGTATATCAAACCTAACTAGAGATAGGAACATTTAGATTATATAATCGTAACTCTTAATATTATCATAGTAAGTATATTTTTGGACTGCACAGCAATAAAGTCAATTGCTGTTACAACACGTTACGGTTACATCTTCGCTACAAGGTTACTGAACTTTGAAAATTGCGTGCAATATTTCCACTTCTTAGCAAACAAATGTGTGATGGTATGTTTATATTAAAGGTGGTTGCGAGTTGTGTTCTTTGCAAAGGAGGTCAGTGGTCATGGTAAACAATTCAGAAAAAGTGTACAAGTTCTGCTGGTCGGAAGTGGAATGTATTGTAATAAAACCATCGATGGGCTACATATCCCCGGGAGAAGAGAAAGACCTGGAAATTAATTTCTTCGCTGCACAACCTGTCTCAATACATAAGGTTACAATGTATTTTGTACACAAATTTTTAGTTATTTACCTCCTCTTGTAAGTACTTTCTGTGATGTTTAATAACGTTATACTTTACGCAACACAATACGAGTACATAGAAAAAAATTCATTTGTACAAGTGGAAGACTTTAATTTATTCAGTTAGTTATAAGTTTAAAGGCGCTGGTAGTAAAGTACATTGAAACAAAATAGCCAATATCTTGCTTTCAGGAGAGTATAACTTGCAATTTAATAGCGATTAGCGATGATTGTCTCACATTGGATATGAAAGGTGCATCGTGGGACAACCGTCAGATGGTCACGTGCTTCGATCATATAAAGTGAGTCGTAAAAAATTATAATACAAACATTCAGTTTTATATATTAAAAAAACGTTTTACCCACTTTTGGATTTTCTCCTGTGTCGTGGTTGCGTTTACAAACATACAATTTCACAACAACTTGTGAATCAGACAAAGCGTTTCATTCCCAAGAGATTAGGTAACATTGTCATATTTGATTCCCAAGAGATTAGGTAATATTGTCTGATTATCTTAGCTAACCCTTCGTTCTGCATAGACCAAAATCAATGAACTAGGTGGAGAGGGGTTGGTTGGATGTCCCACGTGTTAGTTCTCTCAGCGGTAAGTAATGCGCGTCGCGTTCCGAGCCCGCCTCAAAGAGCTATTAGACCACTTCAGATTATTAGCCCATTGGGGCTAGTGTTTAGCGGGTGCAAAGCGCAATAATACACTGTGGCCCGGCTTGGAGTAGGAGATGAACAAAGTGGCTTTTAATCAGTAGAAATAAGACACAACCTCTCGTTCGACTCAGGCCAGGAGAGGCCTTCTTAAAGAAAAAGACTGTGACTCGTCTCCGAACGGTCGTCCTTACTTAATAAATTAAATTGACTTAATATGTAGTATTTATTAATAACATAGTGAAATTGGTAAATATAATGACGAATGATACAAATATATCAAACTTCATTTCTCATTGTCAATGACGTGCGACGTGAATGTTTGCCAGATAAATGTCTCAACAAGAGATGTGCGTATTAAATTGAAGACGAAACATTTGCATTACATATAACAAGTACATGCAGACATGCAATATTAATTACTAGCAGTTGTTGCCTCCTTGACATGTCTGCTTATTCTGTTTAGTACTAAAAGAAAATCCAAAAAGTACTGTCCATTCCACGTAGAGAGGTGTTTTTTCTTTGTTGTTTGGTGTTGACTAAAGGTGACTGCACAGTTGACAAAGCGCCCTTGAAACAGGAAAAAACATAGCGTGAGGCAAAGCTTTAAAAAAACTTAAGGCACCAACTGCACAGCAGTACAAAAGATATACCTACTGGTAAAGCCTTAAGGAATAGAAACTTATTTCTTTTGGAAGGAATGTAGGTATTGTAATTTTTTTCAAGTAAAGCACGATACACGAACCCTTGTTACCTGATGGTAAGCACTCAATGCCGCCCATGGGCACCCGCAACAACGGAGGAGTTATTTAATAAATTAGAATGTCTCACGAAAGTTATAATAAAAACGGAGGAGTTGTTGCCGACCTTTTAAAGTTTAAGGATTTAGGAATCGGGGAGAAATCAGGGATAGTATTGTAGCTCCAGTAACCTCAGTAGCACGGTAAGACACAACGCTGTGGTTTTTTGACGCTGGTTTTCTGTGAGGCTATGAAATCACTCTGATCGAGCGGACCCATTCGTACCGAAGCGTGGCTCTCCTACACTTGATTTTATTTCAAATTCATACCATAATTCACTTGTATCTATTCATCTTTCCAGAGATCTAAGTTTGAATCAACGACGCGAATCTCATCTTGGTGAAGTAACAATTCCACCAGTAGACAATGTCCTGGGAGTGATACATATGGTGATTGTATATTCGGCACAAACAGAATATACTAAATATACTACTAACCTGCCTGAACACAAAACATTGCTAGATACATTTATATATCAGGTATTACTTATTTTAGTATTCAAAAATTGTATTGAAAAATAATGAAATAGTATACTATGGAACAGATACATTTGAATATAGCACATATTTTTTATGAACTTTGTGTCACATACATTTATCGGATACTTATATGAGAGCGGTTGTTAACTTAATTGCTCTTTCCCTTAATTCACCAAACTCCAAGCGAACGCCCTTTTGGCGGTACGCACCTATTGTCTTACTACTAGTAATGTGTCTCGAATTACCACGATTGAAATGTAAAACGCGTCGGCACTGTGTTAAAACTGGAGTGGATTTTAATTGTTCACAATAATTATGCTACTAAATTAAATTTAAGAAATTCATACTACAGCTTCTAGGGTCTTGAAAATTACTTAATTGCACTATTTTTCATTTCATTAGACTAGAAACTTCGAGTTCAAGGTGGAAAATGTAGGTCAAGTGCCGATGAAGATAATATGGAGTTTTCAAATAGACGATGAATTCCCAGCACGAGTTGATAAACAAGAAATAATGAATTCACAGGTAATTTAAAATCATTTTTAACGAAACACAAATTACTTAAAATATAAAAACAGTTTTTATATAGCGTAAGAAACATCAAAGTTGAGTGTTTTGATCCAATTGGCACCCACAGGTGCTCAATCAAATTCATAAGTTCTTCACATTAGTTGTAATATGATTAAGTACTATTTTCAGATTAATTCAGAAGGCACTACTGATGAAGACGGTAATATTGCAAAACCTGGCTATTCGACGACCAGCGACCCAACGCCAATGCCTGAACCACAAGCGGCTACACATGGTAAAGCCCCTTTGTATATCTACCAGTTGCGTACCTGGGTAAGCTAGCTCGTTTTAATGGTCCAGCGATGATGAGATCTACGATGGAGTACGCCTACCCATAAAGAACTTATTTACTAAACTAGGGTAAATCAAGTTGTGCAGTTCTCCTGCATGGTCTCCGAAATGTACCTATCCGATAAAAAATCATCGTCATGCATGTTTGCGCCTGTAAGTATTCCATGCTTTGAAGTCGCGCCTCAACACTTTACAAGTACGTCGAGTCTCTTGACACGCCTGGTTTTTCTACTCGCCTCTTAGGCCATATTTTCTATATTATTGTGTCTCCTGATATTATTAAATAACTAGCTACTCCCACGCGGTTTCACTCGCTGCGTTCTGCGCTCCATTTCCATTGTAGCGTGATATTTTATAGCCTATAGCACTCAGAAACATTGTAGCTATCTATCAGTGAAAGAATTTTAGCAATCCGACCAGCGGTTCCAAAGATTACCTATCCCTTACATACAAACTTACAAACATACAAACTTACACACACACATACCTCTTTATAATATTAGTATAGATTGATTTCAGTTATAGTTTTTTATTAAGTTACTAACCGAGTTTGTGATTTGTGTTTAATTTATAATTATGTCGTGTCTCTCAACTCTTTAATAGGAATAAAATATTGAAGGATCAGGCCTCGCTATGTTCTTACAGAACAAGGTGCATGCATATACTAATCGTATTTTTCTACCTTTAGAGCCAAGTAATGTGACGCTGTTCAGTAACAGTATGGGCCGGGAAAGTGTAGATACCTGGTTCGAGGTGGACTTGCCATTCTCCATAGAACCCGTCAAGGATTGTTTGAAACCGGGCCAGTCTAGAGTCTTCAAAGTGACGTTCGCACCTCTAGACGCATTCGATTTCAAAGTGCGTCTCAAAAGTACCATAGGTAATGAAAATGATTAGCTAATTAAAATAGTAAAAAAATATTTATTGTTAGATTAACAGTTTTGCAGTAATTAAGTGGAGGGATAATAAAAAAACAAAACTTATATTGGTTATAATAATTGATCATACAGGACGACAAAGAGCAAGAATTTCCGTTCAGTTTCAGTGGGAAAGAGTTTAGTAACTATTTTTCCATCTTATTTTATATTCAACAGATAATCTCGATCCTTACGATCAGAACATATCATGCAAACTCACAGCGCGGTCAGTGATCCCATACGTTCACCTGGACATAGAAGAAAGTGACTACGTGACATCAGGCAGGAGGAAGATCACGGGGGTCGCATTGCCACCTTATCTTACTGTACTGGAGTTCAATGTCTTGGGATCAGGATGTTACAAAAAGTTTGTACCTAAACATGTTTGATACTTTTGATTTTTCGTTAAATCGTAATATTAAAAAATTTAATTAAATAATTTTATTTTACTATTGAGCGGTGTTATCACAATTATGGTTGTAAATTATAATACCTAGGTCAACATAAGACTTCTTTCATGCCAGTATTACTAGTCGATCGAATCTAGTTATGTCACTGGTTAGCTGGTTATTACAATGACATCAAACTTTGTAGCAAGAAAAGCAATCAAACTATTTTTTGCAAAACTACAGAATGTGCTAGGCTAGTATCAAAAATGCTTAAAGAGCTAGCCATTGTTTTTTAATTATTTTAGGACGTTCAATGTGATAAATCCGACAAGCGAAGCGTATGAGTTCATATTTGAAATGGTGATGTCTGACAAGCCGGAGCTGATACCGGTTCACTGCAACAGCTTGAAGGGATACGTGGAAGGAGGCACTTCTTCTGAAGTTACCTTTACATTCTCTCCTACAGCTCCCGGGGTAACGTAATCAAGTTAATTTTCCGTTAAAAACTATTTGCAGTTGCCACACTCTCGTAAAATCCGACTTATTTTATCTTTATACAAATACTAGCTTCTCCAAGCTCATTGGGCGACTGCAGCAGGGGTAAAACGTAGCTTATGTGTGAGTCCAGTCCAGACTATAATCTTTCTCTGCCTCAAATTGTTTTCAGCAGCCCCAAAGGAAGTGGACGTGGCAAAGCCCCGACACTATGACAAAGAACGAGATCGACTTCATCATGGCGGACAAAAGGCACATATTCAGAGACGTCTCCGTGATTAATAGGTTTAATACCGGTAGCGATCACCGACTCGTCCGAGGCTCTCTGAATATCGACTTCAGAGCCGAACGAGTCCGCTTGATGAAGGCCAGGCTCCGACCAACCCTGTTTCAAATCAAAATGGGATCTGAAGCGTTTCAGTTAAACCTGGAGAACCGATTTGCTGCCCTGGAAACCACAACCGACGTTAACCGGAACCTTGAAAACGTGGTTCGAGTTCTCAGGGAAGAAGGTACGAGATTTTGTGAAATGCAGCGTAAGGGCAAGAAGTCGAAGCTTTCGGAAGAGACTTTAGGGCTTATGAAGAGACGACGTGAAAACCCACCCGTCACTTCGTCAGAGAAGCGGGCTCTAAACCGAGAGATTAGCAAACACGTGCGACACGATCTCCGGTGCTCGAATACCCTTGCAATCGAGAGAGCGATCGAGCAAAACCGGGGGCCAAAAGTGTTCGTACAATCTCTTGGAAGAAGCCACCTGACGAAGTTGACCACAGCAAGTGGAGAAGTCGTTGTCTCGAAGCCGGCAGTTCTTTCGGAAGTAGAAAACTTCTACGGCCGGTTATACGCTTCGCATGCATCTCGACCTGACCCCGGAAATGAGGACTCTAGAGCCACTTTAATACGCCATTACACCGAAGACCTGCCAGAAATCAGCATTGATGAAATCGAGATCGCTCTTGGACAGCTTAAAAATGGAAAAGCCCCTGGAGAGGATGGCGTTACGACAGAGCTTCTAAAAGCAGGCAGCAAACCGGTACTCAGGGAGCTGCAAAAGCTATTTAACGCTGTCCTGTTTGAAGGGAGAACTCCAGAGGCGTGGAGTCGGAGTGTGGTCGTCTTATTCTTCAAAAAGGGTGACAAAACCCTACTGAAGAATTATCGACCCATTTCCCTTTTAAGCCACGTCTATAAGCTGTTCTCGAGAGTGATCACGAACCGCCTTGCGCGAAGACTTGACGAATTCCAACCACCGGAGCAGGCTGGGTTTCGGAGCGGATACGGCACCATAGACCACATCCACACAGTGCGGCAGATTATACAGAAGACTGAGGAGTATAATCAGCCCCTGTGCCTAGCATTTGTGGACTATGAGAAAGCCTTTGACTCGGTCGAAATCTGGGCTGTTCTGGAGTCCTTGCAGCGATGCCAAGTAGATTGGCGATACATCCAAGTGATGAGATGTCTCTACGAGGCCGCCACCATGTCCGTCCAAGTACAGGATCAGCAAACAAGGCCGATACCGTTGCATCGAGGTGTGAGACAAGGGGATGTTATCTCCCCGAAATTGTTCACAAATGCAATGGAGGATATGTTCAAGACGCTGAACTGGAAAGGACGCGGCATCAACATAAATGGCGAGTACATCTCTCACTTGCGATTTGCAGACGACATCGTCATCGTAGCAGAAACGCTGCAGGACCTACAACGGATGCTGAATGACCTGGCTGACTCTTCTATACGCATCGGCCTACGGATGAACTTGGATAAAACCAAGGTCATGTTCAATGAACATGTACTACCGGAACCGATTGCAGTACACGGCGCTGTTCTCGAAGTCGTTCAAAAATATGTATACCTCGGGCAGACATTGCAGATGGGTAGAAACAACTTCGAGAACGAGGTGAATAGAAGAATTCAGCTAGGTTGGGCAGCATATGGAAAGCTGCGTCAAGTCTTCACGTCGTCGATCCCACAGTGCCTAAAGACGAAAGTCTTCAATCAGTGCGTCCTACCTGTCATGACATACGGAGCCGAAACGTGGACACTGACGGTGCGGCTGGTTCACAAGCTAAAAGTCACTCAGCGAGCTATGGAGAGGGCTATGCTCGGCGTTTCTCTGCGAGATCGAATCAGAAACGAGGTGATCCGGCAGAGAACCAAGGTAATCGACATAGCCCACCGGATTAGCAAGCTGAAATGGCAGTGGGCTGGCCATATTAGCCGAAGAACCGATGACCGTTGGAGTAGACGAGTTCTTGAGTGGAGACCGCGTCTCGGCAAACGTAATGTAGGACGTCCTCAGGCAAGGTGGAGTGATGATTTGCGCAAGATGGCTGGCAGGAGCTGGATGCGAGTGGCCGAAGATCGATCCCAGTGGCGTGCAATAGGAGAGGCCTATGTCCAGCAGTGGACTGAAAAGGGCTGATGATGATGATGATGATGATGAAATTGTTTTCAGATTCGTTAAGTAGTTTTTACGTGAAAGAGGAAATTCGTAATTACGCGAAAGAGGAACAACCCTGTATACCTACAGGGTTGTTATATTATGAACGACTTACGTCATTTGATTATTACTATTGTGATGTCTTACAGGATTATGAATCCATTTGGAAGTTCCTTATACCAGTGTATAACCTTGTTATGAACATTTTGGTGGTCGGCATAGTAAGAGAACCTGAAGTCATTTTCGTTCCAACAATTTTGATCATAAGAAACTCCTTAGTCGGCTTCACGACAACGAACGTTGTGATGCTAAAAAACAATGAAACCGAAGAACTGAACTTTGAGTTTAAGGGCAATTCGTTATGCAATGAATCCGGCAAGACGCCTGTTATTTGCGAACCTAATTGTGGGGTGCTGAAGCCGAGATCTGAAACGCCTATTAAGTAAGACTTTCTTCTCATTAATGCTTTTTATTGTGTTTATTTAGTTGGTTTTCTTGTTATTAAAGATAATTACAGTTCCGGTAACAATCATACTACATGTTGTAGTATTATTGTAGCATTTTAGAATTCTAATCTTTAAGTTTTCATGAAATGACTTTTAGAATATCACTAGGCTCATAGTATAAAACAAAGTCGCTTTCCCTGTGCCTATATGCCTATCTATGCTTAAATCTTTTAAACTATACAACTGATTTTGAAGCGGTTTGAAACCGGTTTGATGAAAGAAGAAGTTTTATATGTTTAATATCATCAACAAAATTGTAGATAAATGTTGTATCAGCATTGTGCCCGTACGTGCGGAGGTAGGTAGGTCCCTAGTATGAAATAATACGAAAGTTCTTTACTTAAAAACTTTTTTCTTACAGCATAATTTACACGCCAATTCAAGACGGTCCGCTTTCATTTAAAATATACTGTAATGTGACGTATCTTACAAAATACTTAACGCTATGCGTTAACGCTCTCAGCTATTCCATTAAACCAAAAGTGACTTACTATTTAATTGGCAACGAGCATGTACTTAATTGTGACGCACTCACTAACATACATTTAGAACAGGTATGTGTATGATTTAAGTATATTCTAAAATCCAATGTTTCAACATATCTCTTTATCCATGGCCCAAGCCTGGGGCATTTTTAGTTGGCTTACCAACGAGAGAGAGAGAGTGAGTGAGAGAGAGTGTCAGACTCTTAAGTCTGACACTCTCTCTCGACCTACCCAGAGCGTTCAAGGAAACATCTTCCCCTCAAAAATTAACTCAACAACTAGCCATCTTTGCGTTAATAATATGCTTATTTACTGAATATGGTCTATAAAATATGCTTATTGTATATCATAAGAGACTTGTAGTTATTTTAAAATAGCTCAAGGTTATTTGTAATTATAGCTGGTAAGCTCAGAATACAGAACAAACCAGAATCCGCGTTCACTCATAATTACATGTCGTCAAATGTGTCAAAAACAATACGTCAATCCCCCCGCCAGCCGCACTTCGCACCCGCGTAGTGTTGCCGACAGTGGAACAATTCCCTTGGTTTGGGGTAATTTTACAACAGGAGAATAAGATACGAGTAAACCCAACAAAATAGGTAAACTTACGATAAATGCAACAGACTAGTTGTTCACACATTTCATAGAGGTATTGTTACGTGCCTGACGTCACGTTCCTGACTATGCGGGCTTGGGTTACGGGATTGGATGAAATGAAACACTAATACCGGTTTTCAGACTTTCTATTGCACTTAAGTTACAGCGTCCACGGAGTTAAGTTATCGGCGTTCCTCTCCAGCAGAGTCCGGCCGACTGACACAACTTCGCCGTTCACGCTGACTTAACTCACTTAACTGACTGCACTTCACTATTTCACTGCACTTCACTATTTCACTCACTTTTCTTCTTTCTCACTTCTTCCTTTTCTTCCGAATCGCTTTAGACTTAGAACTCAACTGCCAGCGGTGAGCCGCAGTTCCGCTTATATACCCCCGGTCAGGTTCTAGAACATTCAATTTCGTTATTCTTTTTGATCGTCATGCCTCCAGAATCTTCCAATAATTTCGTTATTCATTTTTATTTATTCTTCTTCTCGCTCCTTAATTTTTCATCACTTTCACTCAAATATTCCAGAAAGTTCGACAAAACTTCCATCAACTAAAAAACTTCATGTTTACGGCGGGACTCGAACTCGGGGTCTCTGTGGTGTAATCCACACGCCTTACCGATTACACCAACTCGTGTTGACAATTCACGACGAAATTTACAATCTCTAGGCAACGTTTGACAACCATCCGTTGACGTCATGATGTCAAAGAGTTTTCTGTCACACTGCCCCCCTCTTAGATTCGCTCGTCCCGAGCATCGTTGCTGCCGTAATACCTCGCCAACCTGTCTATATGGACAACTTTCAAAGGGCTCCTTGAAGACTTCCGAATTCTGTAAGTAATGTCATTGATCTTCGTGACTATCTCGTAAGGACCTTCCCAACTCGGTTGCAGCTTTGGAGATTTTCCCTTCCTTCTGACTGGATTATGAAGCCAGACC